TTCCCTGATGCTTTCAGCATGATTCATTGGTGGTGTGTTAATTGGGTTATAGATCCTCAAGGATGTTTCTGGAGAAAGTGTTTGGCTCAGGCAACATTGCAGGCAAGCCTTTCTGCAGTTTCTTCCAAAACTTAGAAACATATGAAACAGGTTCATGGGATTAGACCCAAGCTTCATGGGGTGTCCGTAGTACAGTGGTAAAACACCAGCTGTGCATGCAGGACAGGGGTGGGGGAAGCATTCTTTTTTCTTGCCAGCCTCAGGGTCACATTCATTCAGGAACAAGCTTACAAGGGCCACATGCCAGGGTTTGTAGGGCCACAGGCAAAAATGAGTAGAGCAATAGAGGTGGCACTTTCTTCTTCTTCTTCTTCTTCTTCTTCTTCTTCTTCTTCTTCTTCTTCTTTATACCCCGCCTTCCCCGGCCAAAACCGGGCTCAGAGCAGCTAACATCAAATGTTTAACACATTAACATAAAATCAGACAATCAATTAAAATGCCTCCTAAAATCAAATCAAGGGACGCGGGTGGCACTGTGGGTTAAACCACAGAGCCTAGGACTTGCCAATCAGAAGGTCGGCGGTTCGAATCCCCACGACGGGGTGAGCTCCCGTTGCTTGGTCCCTGCTCCTGCCAACCTAGCAGTTCGAAAGCACATCAAAGTGCAAGTAGATAAATAGGTACCACTTTGGTGGGAAGGTAAATGGCGTTTCCGTGCGCTGCTCTGGTTTGCCAGAAGCGGCTTAGTCATGCTGGCCACATGACCTGGAAGCTGTACGCCGGCTCCCTTGGCCAATAAAGCGAGATGAGCGCCGCAACCCCAGAGTGGTCCACGACTGGACCTAATGGTCAGGGGTCCCTTTACCTTTAAAATCAAATCAGGATCAGAATAAAATCCAGTCAGATGGCAACCCGCAGATTAGGGTTGGGGACCTTAAATGCTCACCAGGCCCAACTGGTTGTGTTGAACTTATATGAGCCTGTGAGAAAAATTGGGAGGTCACTTTCATGCAAGTTCTTATGAAAGGGGAGAGGGAGTCAGACTGAACCCCGACCAAAGGCCTGGTGAAGCAGGTCTGTCTTGCAGGCCCTGCGGAAAGATGTCAAATCCCACAGGGCTCTGGTCTCTTGTGACAGAGCTTTCCAAGATGTTATTATTTGCGGACCATAAGGTCCTCCATGGGGCATACCAGGAGAGGCAGTCCCGTAGGTACGAGGGTCCTAGGCCGTATAGGGCTTTAAAGGTTAAAACCAGTACTTTGAAACTGATCCTGATACCTTTACATGGTAAGCTACATTCCAGCCTACCAATGATACCCCCGCTCCATGTACAGTGAGTTAGGAATGCAAGGTCTACCTGCTGGATCAGGCCAATGGCTCATCTAGTCCTGGGTCTTGTTCTCACAGTGGCCACCCAGATGCCTCCAGGAGGAGGCAGTGGATAACCATTGTGACTAGTAGCTATTAACTGTGTAGGAATGGCTACAAGAAATCCAGCATCACTGGACTCAGTTGGGTCCTGGTCCACAAGGCATCTGGTTCACCATGGTGAGAACAGGACGCTGGTCTAGATGAGTCTTTGGTATGATCCAGCAGGGCTGCCTTTATGTGCAGAGCCCCAAATTTTTAAAAAGTGGGTCTCGGCCAGTGCTTTAAATGGAAAACAGCTTTGGCTTCTTTGTGGATGTTGTTCCCTTTTGCATCAAAATGTCAGACTATCTGACAAAATGTGTTGCACTGTGTGAAGTTGGTTGGATCCATTTTCCCATGAAGACAGGCCAAGGTGAAGGAGCCTTTTTAGTTGAGAAAACCAACCAACCAACCAACCAACCAACCAACCACCTAACCAACCATACAACTATAAAGGGATTGAGATTTATAAAATTATGCTTGGGGTAGAAAACATGGATACAGATTGTTTTCTTAACTCCCTACCAGTACCCCAGGGAATTATAGAATTATTTGGTCATCCACCGAGGTAGGCAGGGAGTTTTGGATGTGATCACAGGCTGAGAAGACATGGTGTGCCAGGAGACTCAGTCCTAAGCCAGGAGTCTTCCCTGGGGGATCCCCTACATTTCTTTATTTCCAGCAAGATTTACTATGTAATTTTTGAATATAATAAGAATGTGCATATACTTTTGGAAGATGAGCCTATGCAAATAAAATAATAGTTATAACAACAGCCCCTCCTCCTTGGCACCCCTGCTTCACAGTCTTGAGGCTGTTTTGAGAAGTGGCTCAGTTTCACTCGGACCCCTGGAAAGCTTCTGAGTAACACAAAAGCATCACTGACGGAGCTGCATTGCCCCTGTCAGAATTCTGACATCTTAAGCTTTGCTGCACACATGGAATCAGCTTTACAGAGACAATTATCTCACTCTTTGCCGAGGAAGCAGATGCTTTGCAGTAGCACAGTATCATTCCCAGCTTGTCACTGGGGTGCTATAAGTGAAATGGGGGTGTGATGCAAAATGCAATAATTATATTTAGTTGCCCAAGAGCTGAGACAAGGACAGCAAAGTTATGGGGCTGTTTTAATTGCTGGAGCAGCCTGGGCGGGGGGATGGGGTAAGAACACAGATTAATCTGTATACTTTTGTACTTGCTCCTTGTTTTTTAAAAAATCAAACATTTCCTGTAAGGTGTGTGTGAGAGAGAGAGTGTGGGGGGGGGTGTGACTAAAATTGGGGTTTTCAGAAAGCTTTGAGGGGGCCCTCTAGGCTGTAGTACCAGCCTGCCTGGGAACTAGTCAGCTGACACCCCCCCCCCCAAAGCCGATCAGATCTTCTTCTCGGTCTGTCTGCCTGGGCTTAAACCTTTGTCGCTAGTTAGATATTGCCTGACTTTGACTTCACAACTTCCCCCAGCTCCCTTTGATCCCTGGTTCTTGCTTTGGAAATCAATCGCTACCAGTACTCAAGGATGACAGGACAGTAAAGTCCTCTTAACTGTGTACTAGCGTTTCCAAAGGGAATGCTCTGCAAGCACATTCCTGCTGCCTAGTACCTTAACAGAGTTTGAAAACTTTCTTACACCTGGAAATAAAGACTTCATCACCCCACTTTCTAAAGCAGAGGCAATTTATAGCTCATTGATGTGGTGATATCTTCATTTCATGACAGGCATTTATCTTTAGCAGTCATGATATACAGTTATAAGCAAAAGTGCTGCGGTATTAACTTTGCGTACCAGTGTCAGAAATATAATGATTACCCTCCTCCAGCTCTTCACTGTGCTTGCTGATTTGAGTCATATTTCATGCCTTTTAATGTGGTGGACATCAAGGCAACTGTGTCACACTGGTTGGTGTAAGACGAGTGTGTGTTTGCATGTCAGAGAGAAAGGAAGAGGGAGAGGGGGAGGGAGGGAGAAAGATATTGGCTTATATGGTTGCTGAGTTCTGCCACACTCTACTGTGACCAAAACACAGAATCTGGGGTGGAGCTATGCAGCTGAAGGAGCAGACTATGTAAATAAGGGTCTCCTTGATTCCTCATAGCTACTAAATGTAAGAAATGAAAATCAGGCAAGGCTAAAATATTGGAGGGACAGAAAAGCACACATGGGGAAAGAGTAGCAGAATAGCAACATTGCCCAATGACATCCACTTTTGTGTCATGCCACACTTCACTGTTGTCAAAGAAATTTAATGCAACATGGCAGTAAATCGATCATAAAGTCACCGTTCCATAACAACTGGTAATGTAATGTAAAATGAACATTAGAAACTGGGATAGAAGATCTAGCATTATAACCAGGATAACTAACACAATAATCCCTATGTTTGAATGCACTTTCAGAGTTATGGATGTGTCTCTTACACTCCACAGACGTTCCTCCATTCAGGCAAGCAAAATGAAATTCTCACAGTTCAACGACACATTCCAGCCAGGCACAGGCACTCAAAAACTGGACCAATGAGGAGTCTGACCTGGGGATGGGCAAACCCTGAGGGAAGTTTCAGGGGCCACATTCAGCCCGGGGTCTAAGGTTCCCCACCTTTGCTCTGAAGAAATCCATCTCCATATCCCTCATTCAAGTAGCTGCACTCACAAAGTTCATAAGCCTTTATTGACTCCACTGCATAAATCCCTCCTGTGTGCTTGACCCTTTGTGGCTTACATGACTTTCTCTCTCACACCTGCAACATTTCCTAGCTCACCAGACTATATTGCCAATGCCCCCTTTGACGGAAGGCTGTTAAACATTTCACTCTAATGGGTGTGCTGGAGTAGTATTTAAGATTGTGGACTTGTGTGTGTTCATAGGGTCCATTAAATTGTCCATATCTGCCACTGCATCAAGAAACAGACTTCCAAGGGTGTGCATGTTGTTGTTGTTGTTTTAAAAAAGCCAGGCTTATTGTGATTCTGGGTTCTTCAACGAATTCCTTTCCTGGCTTTAGACCATTCATCATGTTAAGAGATGTTTTACTGTGTTTTACAGCGATGGCATCAATCATATCACAGGGAAAGTCCCCTCTGCATTAAAATAATATTTTATGACAATTTCAGATTCCAGAAATGGCTTCAAAATGGTGAGAATACAGAGCTAGTCAGCAGGTTGAGAAAAATTGTGTGGTGTAGCCCTTTGGGAACTGGAACCATGACACTTCTCCATCTGCTGGGGAATTTTTTTCATGGGCCATGGATCACATTCCCAGGAGCCACATGACAGGTGGAGCCAGAGGCAGAAGTGGGTGGAGCAATCAATGTGACTCTTAATTCTGTACAGTGTATTACATTCCACTCATACAAAGGATGGGTCTCCAGCCTCCATTGTGACAACCAAGATACAGGATCAGAGTTTAAGGAATGAAGGCAAAAGCACTTCCAGGGGGTACAGGTCAGGACTTTTGAGGGTTGTGGCATGGCCTCAGGAGATTCCCAAGGACCATAAAGAGGTATTTGGGCCCCAAACCTGAAGATCCCACCACTGATCTACTGATGGGCAGCAACTCCATGGATTTTCAGACAACTGTTTTCTGTAGGCCTACCTGGAGATGCTGGGGACTGAACCTGAGACTTTTGACATTCAAAGCATGAGCTCTTACCACTGAGCTACAACTCTGACCTCCGACATTTTTCAGTATTTTTATGCCAGTCCTTGGCATCTCCAGCAGTTTTCAGAATGGAGCCCTGGAGGCAGTGCTGAACTAGATGGATCAATACCCTGGCTCAGCATATTACACTGGGTTATCACCGTATCATACTTTCTTATCCATCAAGGCATGCAGAAAGTCCCAGGTTCAATCTTTGACATCCCCAGGCAGAGACCCCTGTCTTAAATCCTGGAGAGCTGCTTCCAGTCAGTGTAAATAATAATGAGCTCAATGGACCAATAACCTGACTTGGTCTAATGCAACTTGCTATGCTCCTGCTTAAACCAGCCCTTTATGCAGACCCATAACAACTGGGACCTTGCATTATTTTTTTAGGACAAGGAACATAGCCCAGCACACATACTCAGCATGCAGAAGTTCAATTCCTGACTATCTCCATCTAGGTTTCGGAGGGACATCTGTCTGAAACCCAGCTACTAGTCAATGTTGTTGATGCTGAGTCGACTCAACCAATGGTCTGACTTGGTATAACGCAACATCCTGTGCCAACCTAGACAGAGTGTCTCAGTGGGGTGTGGGTCTTCACTGAAATGACAGGGGCTGTAACCCAGAGGCGTAGCGTGGGTTGCTGGCACCCAGGGTGGGGTACGTGTTGCACCCTCCTGGTGGAATGGGCAGCGGTCAGTCCCTTTGCCTGCCAGCGTCTCAAGGAAGTCTTTCCTTGCAAACTAGCCCCAACCTGGGAGCAGAGATAAGGCAGAGAAACAAGAAGTCAGGAGTGGGCTATACAGAGGACAGAAATGATGAAAATTCAGAAAGTGCAGATAAATTGATGTGAGAGCTGAACAGAGATGCAATGAATGTTTGCGAATTGCCGCTTATGAAGTGAATATTCACTGTTGTGGAGAAATGTCCCAAGCAAGTAATGTATTGCCTGATCAATGGAGGAGAGAGGAGAAGTCGGAAAATCACCCTACCTAACGCAGAACAACCAGAAAATCCCGTGCTTTGAAGAGGTTGGCAGGGCTGGCGCACAAAAGTCTGACATGATATGTGGCAGTTAGCCAGGACAGGCTGTGCAATGGATGGAAGAACCAAAGGGCAGTGGCAGCACCAGGAAGTGTGAAACAGCTGGTCAGTGCTTTGAATCAGAGACTAATAATTCAAGGTGCTGGTTTTAACCTTTAAAGCCTTAAATGGCTCAGACCACAATACCTGAAGGACCACCTCACTCCATATAAACCATCCCAGACACTGCGATCATCATCTGAGGCCCTCCTTCGTGTGCCTCCTCCTTGAGAGGTCCAGAGGATGGCAACACAAGAATGGGCCTTCTATACTGGCTCCCTATCTGTGGAATGCTCTCCCCAGAGAGGTTCACCTGGCACCTTCATTAGGTGCAAGGCAAAAGTGTTCCTCTTCAACCACACTGTTGGCTGATTAATATTCTACAGCCTTTTAAATGTAACTGTGGGAAGGGGGGGTGTTGTTTTGCTGTTTTGTTTTTACTTATTTGCTTGCTTTTATCCTGTATTTTATTCTGTGAATCCCCCTGAGATCTTATAATGAAGGGCAGTACATAAATCTAAAAAATAAAATAAAAGGGAAAAGATCCTGATGAACAGAATTGTCCAGATCATGTGATGGCTGTTATTCAAGAAGGCAGCAATATCCATCAAGAAAAAATTGAAGGTTTCAAACTTACTTTATTTATTTAACTTAAAAAATCTTGTATATGACTATTCATTTGCGTGTGTATGTGTGATTTACAACTGTAGAAAATAAAACCATACAATAAAAATATTTTTAAAAATAGAAACCAGACACCGGCTAGCTATTGTGGAAATAGGTATTCTCAATTGCCTGTATAAGCCTGGTGGAATGGAAAAGTTTTCAGAAGGCTTTTGGAAACTGGCACAGAAGCTGCCAGCAGACTCTCTGTTGGCAGAGTGTTCCTACGGTACTTTGCTGAGGACACTATATGGCTGAGTTTCTTGCTGTTATCAAGTGAGCCTCGCCAACTTGGTGAATATTCAGCGATGCTCCTGCTGATGACCTGTGCTCAGTCTGGAATATAAGGGTTCAGGCAGTCCCCGAAGGACCCTGGACCTAAGTGGTTCAGGGCTTTTGTAAATTAATACATCTCTACAAAACAGGGAGGAGAGGGAGCAAGAGAGAAACTAAGATCTTCTTGTTCTTTTTTTCTCTCTTGCAAGTGTCCTAGTTTCAGAGTCATTTTGTCAGATTAATCCCAAGCAGAAATATTTGCTTTCTCTCCCCCCCCCCCCGCACCTTTAGCAAGCTCTGTGCAGAACTAAATTTTTGGCATGACATTTTGTGGTGGTGGGGAGGGGGAATTACTAGCTTTGAAGACAACCTCCAGCTTCTCCCTGCTGCTACGAAGTTCATGAAAGCTCGCTTCTTAGTGATATCAACTCTGCCATGCTTTGCTAAATTCCCTTGAAATAAAAGCTGGCTCTTATTTTTAAGAGCAGTTACCCAGCAACACAGCCTCATGCCCTCCCGGATTTCTGTTGCCTTCCTCCTCCACAACTCCCTCCCCACCAAAAAACAACAACCTTGCTTTGTTCTGCTGTTAACTTTATGTGCTGCTTTTAAGTGGTGCATTCGGGTGAGTGTGTTAATGATCATTACCAATGACTGTCTGTTACCCTGTGAAGCGTTTCCTGGTGATTAAAGGGGGCATGCAAACAGACAATTGAACCATAGACCAGGCTAAAGGCCACAGCCTGAGGCTGACTGCCTAATCCCATGGCCTGATTACTTCTGCAAAAGTCATTAAGGTTTTGACGGGCAAATAAAACAATGGACCAGTTCTGCGTCCTTCTTCTAGACCTGGAACAAATTGTCTATGTGGTTTGCAATTGATGTGGGCGCTTGCAGAACCGACTGCTCTTCCATACTAAAATGTGGCAGGGGGCACCCCTAGTATTTCATGGTGAGGCTAGTCTAGTCCTCTTTTTCCTTCCACTCCAGTTCTCCTAGATAAAGGATTTTTGAGGGGATGGCCCCTGGTTTATTACATACCCTCCAACATTTCACTGATGAAAATAGGGAGGTCCCATTCCATAATGATAATTTTAATATATATACCCCCAACACCTTACTGGGTTGCCCCAGCACTCTGGGCAGCTTCCAACATATAAAAACATAATTAATTAAAAAAAATAAACTTCCCTATACAGGATTGGGGGTTGGACAACTCTGTACCCTCCAACATTTCTCCAATGAAAATAGGGACATCCTAAGGAAAAGCGGGACATTCCAGGATCAAATAAGAAACCGGGGATGGCTTCTCTAAATCAGGGATGTCCCTTGAAAATAGGGACACTTGGAGGGTCTGTGATTAAATTCCTTCCATATTAAGGATGAGCAAATGTGTGGATTTGTTTCCTGTCTGTTATTCATCTCCTGCCTCATCTTAACTCTGTTTACCACAATTCTGCATTAGTTGGTTATTATTATTTTTAATTCCTCGGATTAAGCCATCGGTACATTTCTCCTAATAGAAACGTATGCAATTTCTCCTAATATAACTCTCTCACTTTTGTAAGTGATTTTCCCATATGTAAAGGAATTTGTATGCTATTTTCACTTAACATACACATTCTTATCCATGTTTTGTCCCTGTTATACACTTTCGGCTGAATTACTGAGTTGAAAAATTTGAAAGAAGCATTAATTTCATGTGTTATTCTGGGAAGTACAAATTAGGTAGGTTTGCATTAAAATTCAAACTGAGCTGATTTTCTCCTCATCCCTCTTCCTGATGAAAGCCTGCATGTTCAGCTCTGTTCATCCCATTTATTTTCTGCAAGGCCTTTGGAACAGCAAGCCATGAGAGCAAACTGTTCAAGTATTTTCTCCTTGTTACAACCTGCTGTTCTGCAGCACAGTCTGAGGTGCTTAGATGCACAGCACTTATTCCACAAACAGTACTTACTGGGATGGTGACCTTGGGTGTGTTTTTTTTTTGGGGGGGGGGTTCTTTGGGCACCCTTGCTTTTAGTATCTATTTCTGTTATTCTTGTGTGAACTGCTTGGGGGACCTAGACTTAAAAATGGGAAACACATTTTAAAAACAACTTCATTTGCAAATTTCACTCAAGGCTGTGGACTTCACAACACTCAAACATCTCACAGGCTATGGAACTGGATTTCAAGGGGCACTTGTCTAGATCATGAAACTTGCTGATTTTTATTTTTTGAAATCCTGAAGTTTAGAAATCAGCTGCCAATGGATATGCATGAGGTTAAGGTTTTGAAAAAATTACTCCCCTGGTGGGCCCCAAGTGTTTGCATTTTATAATGCCTCCTGCAGAGCAGATTCGTTTGGAGAAAGCTAGTTATGCCCATTTAATAATAATAATAATAATAATAATAATAATAATAATAATAATATCTTTATTGTCATTGCCCCCTTCGGGGACACCGAAATTACTTTGTTTCAATATGTCTGCTATGAGTAGGACAGATGAAAGAAAGTGCTTCTTCATGTAGTTAAACTACAGCAAGCTTCTACTATGTTCTTACAACTAGCAATTCTATAGATATAGGACCATGTGTTACCAGTGCTGAAATTACAACACTAGCTGCCAGTGAGCTAATGGGCCCAATTCAAAGTGGTAGAACCAGCGTGTAAAGCCCCAACGGGCTTGGGACCTGAGTGCCTTCCCTGGTATCAACTATCTTGGACTACAATCAGCAGGTGAGGCCTTGGTGCTGGTTCCATGACTGGGGAATTTTTGCAATAAGGAAAGTGAAAGGAACACGCAAGGGGAAGTGTGGGATAGCCCTTTCTTTGATGCAACACCATCATGTGACATCTCCACAAACATATCAGATTGATCTGGAAATAGCTAACATTTGCCTAACTGCCCTGCCAATAACACAGGATGCAGTGCAAGCAGGACTCTTGATACCCCAAAGGCCTAACCCGTAGTTTGGAATGTCCCTGACAATATTCTCTGAAACATGATTTGGTTTCATGGCAGGCTTCCAGGGGTTCCTCAGCATATGAGCTGACACAGAAGTATTTTCTGGAATGTAGAATGCAGTGTTTGAATTATTAGGGGATGGGGTAAACCATGAGATCCCCCCACCCCACCCCACCCCACCCCAACATGCTCCCTCTCTTTGCGCCTTCTGGAACGAACTGTAAATTTGAATGCCAGTGAATGATGATCCGTCTTCTGAAAAAAAGTACCTTGGCCTATAGAGTCTAATAGCAATATGATGTGAGTAATGCTGGGTATCTGTGCAAATTGCTCATTGCTGTTCTGAATATAAAATGAGTAGCTCTGGCCATTAAAACCTGCATGATATCTTAGCTGTTACTGTATGTAATCTGCATGCAAAATATAGCCATGTATTCCACTAAAATGGTAGCAAAAAAGAGAGGTTATATGTGGTATAGATACCTTGTATTCAGTCTTTTCCCGAATACATTTTTAAGATATGTAAGCTACCTTTCTTAACACAGTATCCCTTCCTAGACAATGCTAGAAAGACTGGTGTAAGCATGGAAATATAGAAGTAAATGACTCCTATCCTCTTGTCTCCTCTTCCTCTGCCATCATAAGCCAGAGTACGTTAATTCTCGTCATTCTTTTCTTTTTCTCTCTACCAATGTTTTCCCCTCCCCTCCTCTCCCTGCTCCCATGTCCTTCTCTGCCCCTCCCTGTATCATTATAGAGTTGATTTGCTTCTCTAGATTTTTTTTCTTTGTTTTAATTTTATTTTTTCCCTTTCGTTCTAACTTAAGTTCATTTTGTTATGTGGTGACCACAGTTATGGATGACGCTCCCCCCGGCACACAGGAATATATTATGTTACGGCAAGATTCCATCCAATCTACGGAATTAAAGAAAAAAGAATCCCCCTTTCGTGCTAAATGTCACGAAATCTTCTGCTGTCCTCTGAAGCAAGTGCACCTCAAAGAGAACACAGAACCTGAAGGTTTGTGCACCACGAGATCCATGTTCGTTTTCTTTTTCCCGGTTTTTAAATTTTTTATTTTCCTTTCCTTTGTTTTTGTTTTTTTTTCGGAGAGAGCGTGCCTGTCCTACGGATTGTGTCTTGTGTGTTCTTTGGCCTGTGTTTAATATAATGCAACTGGATGCAGCAATTTGCCTGGGGTTCATGTATCACCCTCTGCTACTTTGCTTGCTTGTTAATGTCTGATACGAGTCATGGGCCACTGTATAAAATATAATTCACTGATATAGGAAAACCTTTTGTGGGTGTGTGGGTGTATGTGTGTATGTATGTATGTATATATGTATATATATATACGTATATGTATATATATAAATATATATATATATATAAAATAGTTGACAATGCTTTAAAAATTACTGATCAAAACTTTTATTTCTGTCCATTTTCATCATTACACTTGCCTTTTGGCTGCCAAAACTTGCTTGCTTTTTCTAAAACAGCATCTTAACAGCTCCCTCTTCTCTCTCTTCACCTGAGAAGTTCTCCTCCACCTTAGTATTTCAAAGTTGCATTCAGCTGGGAATAAATATTAGATCGCACTTAAAGCTGGATTCTCTGACACTTTTACACTTCATAAAGCTTTTGCGCATTGCTGTCCAAAAAAAAAAAAAAAGGCTTATAAAAGCTGTAGTTTGGCAAAGCAGGATAAGTTGAATGTACTGCACGCCCGGTTGCATTTTGGAGAAGTTCTGTGCATGCAGTAGAGCTAATGTCTGAGTGGAATGTTTCCTTTTTATTTTCCAGAGATGGTAATCAGGTATGGGTGACCACTTGCTTGCTTGTTCCCCAGAAACTATTAATAAGAAAGCCTGTCAGTTTGGGGTATATATGAGCTTAAACATCCACCCTCTCCAGACAACCTAATTCTTGATTTTCTGTAATGCTGTTTTTATATGTTTTCCACTACTGCCTCAATTCCTATCTGGTAAGACTTTGCACGTTTTACATGAGCTTCTATATATGGTCCAATAGCAGATGTCTTTATAACAAAGAAAGAGTGCATTTCAGAGGTTATAAATATATAGGATTGGATCCTACTCTGACTGATACAGGTGTGATAAAATGAGGGTTTGTGCAACACAATTGCCGTGTCACAACTGTCTGGTTTCTACAGTCACAATGTGTACACATGGGGCACATCAGTGTATGTGATGCTTCACAGTTACATCAGCAAAATGGAGTATGTCTCTGCCCTCAATGAGCTTTCATACTGCTAGTGGTACTCCTCTTTCCATTACCCAGTTCTGTAGGTTTCCAGTATGCATGTGTGTCCCCAAAATAAACATACTGGTGCTTTAAAGTTAACATGAACAAAACAGACAGGTGTCTGATTTAAGTAGCTTACATATTTCTAACGGGCCTCATTGCATTATCCCATTCTATGGCCATACAACTATCTCATAGCCAAATAGGCCCATGAAGATTGCATATGTAACATGATAGTTTTTGCAGTTTTAAATGGAAAATATGATTGCCTGTTTTGTCAGAAGATAGGTTGCAATAAACACTTTCAAGAAGTCTCAAAGGCACATGTGTTTTTCTTTTGCCTGCACCTATGTTTGTCTAGGATTGTTGCTGTTACCCACAAATGTAGATCTTTGCTTTACTAAATATTACAGGAACAACATCTATAGCTAACATCTAAAGGAACAACAGTGAAATCTTTCTTTTCTTTTGGGTAGATTGTAGCTCAGTTTAATGCTTTCAGTGGCATGGACATGTGAGATGGGCAACTTCTGAGAGATTTAATTCATGCAGCGATATATGTAATAAAAGTGGAACAGTTCCTGAATCTCTGAATTGTATTATCTTTCATGTCAAAGCAATGGCCTTTGGTTTTAGATTTAGATGTTCAAAAAACAACAATTGCTCTGCAAACAAACTGGCCAGAAGCTTCAAATGTCAGTGAGTTGTGGCTGGCAAGAGTTGGCAATTTCAGACAACATTTGGATTTTTTTTTTGTTTCATTTGTATTCATGCATAGTTTCTTGCAAGGAGAAGCTTAGAAGTTCTAGAACATTATCCTTTACTAACCATTGTGTTGCTTGCTTTTTTTCCCAAAAGAAAAAGTGATGCTACTGATGTCAGAGAGAAACATGCATTGTTTTAGAAATAACAGAGTTGTTGAGTGTTTTAAACTGAATTTTTAACACTACTTGGTTAATGAACATTCAGTTTGGTGTTATCGCTCCTGGTTATAACTTGTGTTTGTAGCAATATTTGTATATTATTGCTACAAGTATGAAGCATCTATTTATAGAAGGCACTAGGGTCTTGATATACATGGGGTCATATCAGACAATACCCTTTTGCTGATCCTACCATTATGCAGGGTGGAGAACAAATGTCTGTCATCCCTGTCTGCCATCCTGATAATGCCATTCACTGGGACAAAATGTTTGATTTTTGGTTCAGGTGTGAAAAATGCAAGATGTGTACGTCAAAATCATGTAGTCAATCTCCTGGTTGAAAAACAAAAACAAAGCCTCCATCAGAGGTTTAATCACAGAATTTGGGGGTTCCAACCTTACTAGGTTTTGCTCACATGAGACTGCCTTGTTTAATTGAGTGCTTGCTAATCTCTCAACTGCTCATGTATTGTCATTCTGTAAAAGAAAAGAAAGCCTGACTCATTATACGCAAAAAATATGAATATATTCATGTAATATGTATAAAGGTGAAGTCCCACACTGTGCTATATTTCTTCAGCATAATATTTATATTAATACATGCATATTTTAATACAGTTATATACACTGCTTTATGCATCTGTTTAAGTGCTTGTTGCATTGGAAAACCTGGAATAAAAATGTGTACACTGCATTTAATAATGCATATAATCAAGCATATTATGTGCGAGCACTCTCACTATGTTTAATGGAACTGGGATGGGGGTAGAACCGTGCATTTTGTTGAGATTAAGGAGTGGAGTGAGGAATCCATTTGGATAAACTCAACATTGGGATTATGAGAAAATTCCACCCCCTTCTTACACAGATTGAATTTCTATGTGCATTGGCTTTTGTCCTGGGATGTATTTGCTCCCTTCCCTCCATGTGATGGGTCAGATTGGTGAAGAGGCATCACCAAGTGGCCTGCTTGTTCCTTAACAAATGTAATTAGCACATGACAATATTAATCTCTTTTCCTTGGGATATTTGTAGAATTGAGCTTGAGATGGGCAGCTACCAGATGCAAATGCCGCTCCCCCCCCCCCCCAATATTCCAACAAGTTTCTCTTCTTCATAAAAAGCTTCTTCCACCACCCCCACCCCTCATCCTGGAAGCATTTCATTCAGCATGGTAGTTCCGTTGCTCCATTTCAGTGACATATTTTAATCATTAAGCCATTCTTCCAGAAAACGTTGTAGAACCAAAGAGACCAGGCGGTCTGCCTAATTCTAATGCACATACCTAATAGCAAAAGACAAATGTCTTTTTCTCCTTCTGAGGATATATGTTTCCATTCACAAAGAGGCATCCAGGCACGAGATAAGAAATGGCAATGTGATGTTATCTAATCCATAAATGTTGAGAGGGTGTCAGTTCCTATACAGATGGAAACAAGAGTGCTGACTTATGCCAACTGCATGAATATTGCACTTTAAAAAAAAGAATGCTGTTTAGTGTGAAGATATGTACTCATGATTACTTGCCACATTTTAATTCTTCTCTAACAATCTGGGAATATGTTAGTTGGGTGCCTCTTCCAGCATTTCTCTTCATAATTCATGCCATAATTCAGTTCAGCTCATAGGGTTCAAAAGTATATGAGTCATCTTTAAGATTTTGCTTGTACAGGGACAGCATACTAGAAGGATCTAGGCTACATGTAATGATGTAGACCAAGGCACTTCTTCACACAAGGCATAGTTCAACTACAGAATTTGCTTCTTCAGGAGGCAATGATGGCCAGCAACTTGGTTGTCTTTAAAAGAGGGTTGGACAAATTCATGGAAGAGAAGGCTGTGCATGACTCCTAGCCACAATGGCTATGTTCTACCTCAGGCTTCCTCAATCTCGGCCCTCCAGATGTTTTTGGCCTACAACTCCCATGATCCTAGCTAACAGGACCGGTGGTCAGGGATGATGGGAATTGTAGTCTCAAAACATCTGGAGGGCTGAGGTTGAGGAAGCCTGTTCTACCTCAATGGTCAAAGGCAGAGGATAGTGTTATTGTGCTCAGGTGCTGTTTGAGGTTTTCCCATTGGGGCATCTGGTTGTCCACTGTGATAACAAGGTGCAAGGCTAGATGGGCCATTGTCCTGGTCCAGCAGAGTTATTCTTATGTGCTTATGTTCATATCAACTTAATCTAAAGTTTGTGTCCAGCATTAGAATCATAGAATCATAGAGCTGGAAGAGACCACAAGGGCCATCGAGTCCAATCCCCTGTTCTACTCTGTTCTATTAGTTCTACTCTGAGCTGGTCCATGGAAATTAATAGAAATGGCTTACTTAAGTCCATTAATTTCAGAGGGTCTACTCTGAGTAGAACTTAGTTGGAAACAACCCTAAGTTTATATCAGCCTGTCCTAACCTTTGGCTTATTTGGCTATGTTTGAAGCAAGAGGAAGAACAAGAAAGTAGTAGGGCCCTTGTGTGGAGAAGATAGAGAAATGCTGTTGGATGACATAGAGAAGACAGAACTGCTCAACAACTACTTTGCATGACTGGCAGTGACTCTTTAGGATTTCAGACATAGGTCTTTCCCAGCCCTATCTGAAGATGCCAAGGACTGGACCTGAGACCTTTTGCATACAAGGAAGATGCTTTACCCCTGAGCTATGCTCTGTCTCCTAAGGTGGGTCTTGGCCAATATCTTAGCCATCTAACTCCACTGCAATCAACCTTGGTTACCTCAGAAGCCCCCACAGAAGAGGTTGTGGAACGGTCCATATGGTTGCCTGAGATTCCCCAGAGGCTTTTGCACATTCTCCATTACAGCCAGGCAAAAGC